AGTTAAGGGCTTTAAGCCTTACCATGTGCAAAGAAGACCCTCTCAAGTTGTACAAAATCAAATTTGCAACGGAATTGATCAAATGGTTTTTGAATGGTAGGCTCGTGAAAATGATGTTTTTCTCGATATTTACACAGAGAAAGAACAAATCGCCGGTGCCAAAAATGACCAAGCCACGCGGAAATATCCTGGACATATTACTTGGGTTAGGGCTTTATGCCTTCTCATGTGCAAAGAAGACCCTCTTAAGTTGTACAAATTCTATGGTTAGTTCTTATCGGTAATTATGCTCCGATGAGGTCATTTGTACTTTGAATAAACAAATGCCCAACGGAGCATTTACAGTGAACTTAGTTTTTAATTAAACTAAACTATGCACTTTTTATTCAAATAACTGTTGTTTTGTTAGAAAAAAAAAACAATTGCATTTTGTTCATGTTTGGTGGGTATTCTTTCATGTAATATTAGACCCAAGGCCTTAACCTTCAAACATGTCTAGGAAATTTCTCAATGCCATGGTCATTTTTTTTGGACCGGCGATTTCTTCTTTCTTTTAATATATATTTTTTTGAAAATACACCATTTTCAAGAACATACAGTTTCAGCATAATTTGTCTGATTCCAATGCCGATTCGATTTAGTACATGTTTGGGTAGATTCCCGCGTGGTTCCGGCGATTTGTTGTTTTGTATATAATGTGTATAAAAACCCATCTTCCAGAGAAATTTCCGAAACTTCACCATTTCTCAAAGCCAAACGTTTAAACACCATTTGTCTGAATTCAATGCAGATTCGATTTTGTACAACTTTTGAGGATTTTTTTGCACAATATAAGGCTCAAAGCCCTAACTAAAGGAATATGTACTAGACTTACATACTTATGCCTGATTGCCACTTTGTTCTTTGATATAATCATGAAAGGTACTTAAGTCTCCTTTTTTTTCTTCCTAATAAGAAACAAATAAAAACATTTTCTTAGTCATTACCCTGTTTATTGTTTAAATATCTGTTATTTATCAATGGAGTGTCTTTTTGTGCACAATATAATGTTCAAAAGCCCTAACCCAAGAAATATGTCCGGGAGATCTCCGCATGGCTTTTCTTGGACCGGCTGTTTGTTCTTTCTGTATATAAAGTGTATAAAAAAACACCAAGTTGTCTGATTTCAGTGCGGATTCGATTTTGTACAACTTTAGAGGGTCTTCTGTGCACAATATAAGGTTCAAAGCCCTAACCCAAGTAAATATATACTAGATATTTCCGCGTAGCATGATCGTTTTTTGACCGTTGATTCGCTTTTATTTCTCTCTGAAACCGTAAATCGACATAAAAAGCAACATCTTAGTGACAACATTATTCCAAAACTGAGATTAAAATTTTTTTGGTGCTTTATAAATATTACAATATATAGCTAATAGCATCTGGACACAAATGTATTATATGTATGTCGTTTTAACGACATTTCAGTGCTGGTGGAAATACATTTAGCTTAACCGATTTTGGATTCGTCAATACAGTATTGAATTTATTCATTAACTCCCACCTTGCAAAAGTGTTTTGACTTTACCAATTAACATTTTTACTATGTTTCTAATCTCAACTTATAACAATGTGATGTAATATACAACTACAACGTACTTGATATTACTTTTATATTTTATATCTGAAATGTCATCATCGGTCCGCTGATCATAGTTTTACATTATAAAAGCAAGCTAAATTTCATATAAGTGTATGTTATGATAAAATTAATAGTCATTTTGCCTAATACTGAGGAAGGGTGTCCAACGGAGGAAATTCATCAACAGAATGAAAATTAGATTTATAGATTTTTTTAAAAGAAATCATTTCTTTCTTCTTTTTGTGTGTATTATCTTAAATAATTGGTATTTATAAACATATGTATTGAAATGAAAAAAAAGTTCCAGGTCTTAAAAAATAAACTGATATACAAGATATTTTGTAATAATTTATTATATTTTATCATATATAAGATCTATATGCATCCACTTATTTAGCTAAAACAAAAATATCAGTATGTGTATTCAAAATACATCAAAACATTATTAAGTGCAAATATCAAGTTAACACATACCGAAATAATACATTACACAGGCTGATTAAAGCAAGTTGAAATAAATTAATTTTATGGATGATGTACTTCTGGTGCCATAAACAAGCTCAAAACAGTCTGTACCATGTTGCATCATTCAACATTAACAAAAGTAAGACACTGCCTATAAGCCTGTATAAGGATAGTCTATGCTCAAATCGTGTTATATTCACCAGGGACACGAATTAAAATAAGCATAAGTAGTGAGGCTAATAATCCATCTGCACCGGAAATAAGAGTTAGATAAAAGCTGGCATGAAAATCGGCTCTGAAATCTTGGTTCTCCACTACAAACACAACAACTGCTGCGATCAGAGCCATACCTGAAAAAAATAAACAATGATTAATACCCAACAAAACAAAAAAAGATAATTGCTGAGGTAAGAGTTGGGCCTGCAATAAAGTATTCTTCGTCAAACATACACAAACTAACCACACACAATTAAAAAAAATGTTGTGCCACTTGCAATCAAGGTCAGGACTATCGGATAGGTCAATTGCTGCGGTCAATTGAAATACCTGGTAATAACATTGCAAAGGACAACATTGAATGAAAGAGTATCTTAAACAAAAAAACTTAAAAGGAAATAACAAAATACGTAGTGTCAAATGTTTTGCATTTATGTCTAAATAAATAAATTTAATCATTAAAAATAAAATAAATGTTTGTTTTGTAGAAAGTGATTCAATAGTGTTCACACTATGTGTAAAACAAAAAAACAATGATATAATTTTTATTTGGGTAAATTTAGTCTTTAAGTTGGTAAAAAAATGATTAATGATCGTATTGTAACAACACAGTGCTGGTATATCAAGAAAACATGCACAAACCCACTCTAGAGGCTTATAATATGTAAAATACATTTATTAGTAACTGCTTATTCCATCAAGTGATTAACAATTATTTTTTCTGAGCATAATATCAAATATCGTTACAACTTTCATACATACCTCCAAGAGCTGACATGACTATTGCGCATCGGATCAAGACAGAGCTAGCATTTTCCTTCGAAAATAAACCAATGAAAAATACACTGAGAGCTAAGAAGATACTCCCTGATATGGTCAACACTTTAACGGATATGAGCCAATCTGCATCTGAAAAGTGATTAATAAACAAGGAAGAGACTTAAATGTATAATTCAAAATATAGGTTGTTTATTATTCAGTTTTAAGAAACACATCTGAGAGTGTTTAAAATACATAGTCATTACAACACGTTGTTTTCTGACAAATCAACACGGTGATAGTATATGTAGTAATGTTGATATTCAGATGAAAACTTAGATGTTAAAGTCCCTCATCTGAGGTATTGTCAAATTTCCCAACCAAATTCACTGCGACTTATAAAAACTTCATTTTTATTGTCAAAATGACAAGAAGTCCATCAATGGGGCAATGACGAAAAAACAAGCACTAGAAATGATAAAATTATGCAATTGCTTTGAGCTTTGCATAGTCTTTCATGTGTTATTCTCAGCACTTAGACAATTTAAAACATTATAATTGTTTAGTTTTATATATAACAAGGATTTAGAAATGCTCAGAAACAGAAAAATTACAATTTAGAGTCATATTATAAATAATAATGATGAAGAAAATAAATAAATGATACAGATGTGTAAAACGAAGAAGTAAGTTTAAATTACATGTTACGACATCCACTTTAACGAAAATTGAAAGAAATTACACTTTAAGCATAGAATTTGTTTTAATATTTATATCTTATTTTCCTTTTTCTTTTTTAGATATGTTGACAGAATGGCTCTCTTTAGCTTGTCGAGAGTATTAAGATAATGCTAAAATATTCAAGAAACTATTTTCAAATTAATATTATATAAGGTGCTCAAAACAATTTATTGAGAATTGTTCTGCTTTTATATCAAGGTACAGTTATATTTTAATTCAGTGATCGATGCGTAATTGTCGTTTCTATCAAAATAATTTTGGTATTTGTTCAAACTTTAGTTTGTAACTTAGATTAATTAAAAAACGCATTTAATCCTAAGTACAGACTGTTCTATTGATTACAACCATACCTTTGCCTTCACGGCTACTACATACGTATTCTGCTCCATTGTCGCTTGAAACTTTGCTGCATATCTGCCATAAGCCAATATTACTATCCACTTTTCTTATCCAATATGGTATTCCAGTACCTATTGATGCCATGATTGTTCCTACTACACAAATCACCATACTCAATACCAGCGCTCGATTCATCATGTTTTATAATACTCAAATGATATTGTTCAAAGTACTGAAGAAATTATGATGTAAAGAACCATATGCTGGTCAGTCTGAAACCGTTAGAAACGTAAATGTTAATCAATCTTCTAAATGTTATTCATTTGTTAAAGAACTGAACGCATTGTATGACAGTTGTCACTTATTTAGATTAGCAGTCATAGCTGTGTTTATACTAATTGGCACTGATGGAATATGATACAATGGTGGTCAAAACAATCCAATCTTTTTTAATATGTTAACTATGATGATAAGCAGAGTTGATATCTAGTTCAAGATTAACGAATTACCTTAAAATTTACAGTCTTTATTATTTAGATAATAAAACAAAGACTATAAAAGTTGAGCCTTTCTCAACATATCGGCATTTATCGGAGTGGTTTTTTATACAAATTTGTCTGTACTTTTATATTTAATCGCATACCCGTGCCGCTTTTGCGACTCCATAAAAATGGTAATGCACGGCCGTGCATATATTTTGACGTGACGTCATTTGCGTTATTCAAACATAGCATTAATTGTAGTGTTACGCTAAATGCATTTCAATGAAAAATTATTTACGTTTTCACTTTAAACAGTCTATAGTTTTAGTATGTGATACAAAATAATATTATACTCGTGTAGGTGCATCATTAAGTTTATTGAGATCGCCAGAGGATCGCATAATATAACTGTATTGAACTTGTACATTAAATCCAGTATTATATCTACACTCGTTCAATATCCTCTATCAATTTCATGATACTATTGATAAGATTTGGAGATTGAGTATATTAGCCTTTAATTCAGGCCTTAATCACAATATGGACTTAAATCAAAACGGTCTATAGATAAAATTGTGTCATCAAGTAAATCGTTGTTTTTGTAACATATTTGACCTTTAATCTCAAACAAACAAAATACTGTTTTGATTAAGAAAGGGATATTAGTGCCGATTACTATTATTGATGTTTTGTTGTCAAATGTTTACTAATTAAAGCAACCTTAATCGTTGGATATTCAAACGACTGTATTGATTAGGGAAACGATTTAAGTACCAATTACTATTAGCCTATTAAATTGCCGAATGATTCTTTATTATTTTAAAAGCAAGTTTAACTTGTTGATATTAAAGTAACAGCAAAAAACTATCAACCTTTAGTGTGTTCTGAACATTTGTTTAACCATGCTCAGCCTTACATATTACATTCTAAATGTCAGTATCATCTTTGTTTATGTTAATGTCACAAATAATTTTCTGTTCCAAATACACATAAGTTACCTCCAATTAAAACTTAAAATTAATTTTCAATCGATTATAGGGGCGTCCAAGGCCGAGTGGATAAGGTCGTTAACTTCAAAACACTTGCCTCTCACCGCTGTGGGTTCGAATCGCGACAGGGACTTTGGATTCTTTCATGTGACGAAGCTATCCAGCTAGCTTACTGGACGTCGGTGGTTCTACTAAGGTGCCCGTTCGTGCCTGAAATAATGCACGGAAGGGCACCCGAGGTCTTCCTCCATCAGTAAAGCTCGAACGTCGCCAAATGACCTAAACTGTGTCGGTATGACGTGAAACCCAATCAAACAAATTAATCGATTAGTTCTGTCTGTATGCAATCTCGTTATGTTTCATTCCCCTCAATTATTGTATCTTTATTTTTGTTTTAGTATAAACGACATATTTTCATAAATCAGTTTGTATGGTTTATATATTAACAATGCAGTTAAAAAAATTAATCTAAACATAACGAAGTAAATAAACCAAATGTCAATCAAGCTGATTTAAGCGTTTTTATCTCTAAAAATCTATGTTATGACATAGTTTCTTTATGTCTGTAGAAATTATTAAACTATCTCATTCAACTTTTGATAAATTCACGATTTATAAGTATTTTACACGGAAGTTATTTTCAATGGATTATGAAGTTTCAAAATACGACCTTGAAAATTGAAATTTTACAAAACAAAATCATTTTATTTTGGCAAACAAACGTGTACATTTTCAACGTTTAAACTAGTTTAACTTGTTTACTTGATTTTGTATTTCGCTCAATTATTCTTTTTTTATCACGTAACGTGAAACAAATATTTACCTATCATGTTATAAAATTAAATTTAGTCCATATCCCAAAACAGTTTTATTTTATAACTCAAGCAACTAATATTTTTATCTTTGTTTTCTATGTTTTTTTACAAAAACTGTACTGTTTCGTCGTTTGAACTGAGCTCATAAACTTAAGTAACGAATCACTTTTTGTGCTTTGTCTTGATATGATGACTATAGCGAATAGCGTTTCTGTTCTATAATACAATTTATTCATTTTTATGTGTACACAATTTCAACTTTTCTTGTACAATTGTTTAACATTACGCTTAAAAAAGAGAATATTCTTACCTTAAATAGACGATTTTGAGTTATAATAATATCAATTTCCTATTATAAATCCATGATCAATACAACAAGTGTGTAAACTATTTAAACCAACCCATCCCGGAAGAAATGTAGTTTAAACTGTTTACAATATGAACAACCATTTTTTTTAATCTATATCATAACACGTATGTATGAAAGCCTAATAGTGTCAAATAAAATAAAAAAAAATTCAAAGGCGTTATAACGCGAAAAAAGGCGTTATTACGCCAATCTAAAGGCGTAAATACGCAAATCAAAAGGCGTTATAACGCAAAAAAGGCGTAGAAACGCAAATAAAGGCGAATTTACACGAATAAAAGCGTTATAACACGAATCAAAACCCGTAATAACGCGAATAATGACGTTATAACGCGAATCAAAAGGCGTAATATCGCTTTTATACGCGTTATAACGCGAACTTAAGGGCATAATAACGCAAATCAAAAGGTATAGTAACGCGAATAAAGGCGTAGTTACGCAAACAAAAAGGCGTAATAACGCAAATCAAAAGGCCTAGTAACGCGAATAAAGGCGTAGTATCGCGAAACAAAAGGCGTAGTATCGCAAATCAAAAGGCGTAGTAACGCGAATAAAGGCGTAGTAACGCGAACCAAAAGGCGTAATAACGCAAATTAAAACGCATTATAATGCCAATTTTATACCATATTTATACTTATCAAATGGCCTAGTTACGTGAAAAAGGAAGAACAATATTGATCTGAATTTATTGCTCAATATATAAACTCGTATAAAATAATAAAATATAAATGTACAATAACTATCATTCCATTTGGTAGTAATATTGCAAACCATTTGTAAAAAACTAATGAAGACACTTTGATATTTGTCAATATAAGGTGACTTGGAGACTTACAGGTCCATTGGGTTATATGTCAATACAGTTACTCTGAATTCACATCATTGATATTACACATGTCACTATAGTAAATGAATTTTTATTTTTTCTTATATCTTATCTTATTTTATATATGCGTCATATCATTAATTATCTACGGATATGTCTTGTATAATTACTTAATAACCTGTAGTATCTTTTAATAATGTGAATGTCGTTCCTAATTACGTTACAAGATTTGGAAAAAACGTAAGGTATACGTAAGTCACATTAGGATGAAAATATCTCTTATTATTGACAGGTATGCTTAGAGGGTTAAGTAGTGTTTCTGTTAAGTTTCAATTATAGGAAACATTGTCTTCTTTGTCTTTATCGAAAAGAATCTATTGTCGGGTGATAGTAACCTATTATCTCACGGAAGCATTTCCTAATAAAATATTTAAAAAAAAATCAGACAGTGGCCTTGAACGTATCCGTACAGAATTGAAAATAAAACGTATGTTTTGATCAATTCATTTAAATCAACATAGTTCTTCCTATCTTACAGCATAAGGCCACGATTTGGAATTTATATGGTATAAAATTAGCATTATAACGCCTTTCGTTTTGCGTTATTATGCCTTTTGGTTCGCGTTATTACGCCTTTACGATATTAAGCAATATATCTCTCAAAAGTTCAGGAAAACAAATCAGCTATAATTTATTGACTACTGATAAGCAAATAGTTTAAGAGAATCGTCATCTAAAGAAACATTGAATGAGCAAGTGCGACCTTGACCCTTGAGGTAGGGGTCTGGTTGTTGCGCATGACACGTCATATAATTATAACAAACATTTGTGCCAAGTTATTTCAAATTCCCTTGATAAATGACAAAGTTATACAAAATTACAAAATCCCTTCGAAGATAAAAAAAGATATGGACCGGACACGACATATACCCTCAAATAAACAATGTTGGCCTTGAATGAGCAAGTGCGACCTTGACCCTGGAGGTAGGGGTCTGGTTGTTGCGCAAATCACATCGTCTTATTATAACAAACATTTGTGCCAAGTAACTTATTTAAGATTCCTTAAATAAATGACAAAGTCATGGACTGGACACGAAGGTGTGACGGACGGACAGATGGACGGACGGACAGACAGACGGACGGAGCCTATTTCTATATCCGTTTTTTCTGGAGAATAAGCGATAACCTAGAATTTGTACTGATATGTTAAAAGAAGGTTCCGTAGCATTTGTATCATCAAGATATCCCTCGTGACTCGTGTCTGTTTGTCATTAATGGTCTCATCATTTCTTTGCCTCGGTTCTTTTATCGGACAATGTATTCTAGGAACTATTCAACGATAACCATTAACAAAATAAAAGCATACATGTATATAGGAATGATTTCGTTGACACATTGATTGCTCTATTTTCATTTGGTTTCTTTAAGCAACAATTCATGTTCTATGTAAAACTATTGGGCAAGAAATAATACACTACAGAACAATATAATTATTTAGAAATAGACATAATTAAAATCTAATAATCTGTATATGATTTGTTTCATTAATCCTTATTTGCGACAGTTTTAAACTGTGTTTAATAAGGTTCTTTTAACATATTAAAATAAATAAAACGAATACCTTAAAACACACAAAACGCAACAGTAAATATTTCAGGGTTAGTTTGTTTGCGTTTGCTCAATGCAAACTACCGCACACACCCCTTTAACCGGTTCAAACGGACCTTGGCATTTAAAGGTGAAGATGTTATGTCATTATGGAACTTCCTGAGATATGTTCCTAAATTTTGACACTTTTTGTGCCGTCACTTGAAAGGGGCTTATGATTCCCTTACTTAAAGAAAATGTGACTTATTGCTTTGCGTGCATGTTTGTGGTACCTTAAATGCTTACTAATTTGGCGTTTTGTCTAGTCGGCTGGTTCCAGTATTCCTAACTTGAATACTGTAAAATCACCCTTAGAATATGTTGCCTGCTATTTAATTTTGCCTTTCGACAGTGTATATGTGATTTGCAGCGTACTTCAACTCAGTGTAGTTATATTTTTCTGGTCTTTCGGGGTCATTGATTCCAGCACTATTTAGTGTTGAAATTGAGAACCGTTTAAGCCGGTGCTAAGGGACCGAGTGATGTTGTATCTTTTATTATCCATCCATAAAAACCGCTGTACAAACTTATTCTGTGGATGGATTGAAACTCAAAACCTTACCAATCCAGGTTAAATATTGAATTCTACTTAAGCCTGTACTAGGGATCTTGGACTGTAATTTGCACTTTCAAATACCGTCCATGAACAGACTCAATCAAACCGAGCTTGATTCATTTTCAACTTTGTTGTTTTTCTTAATGGAGTTTTATTTCTCATTGTTTTGAAAAGCAGCAACATATTGTATTGTTGATTACACACTATTTCAGTTGGAATACTGGACCCACTAAAAAGGCAATAATATTACTTATGGTGCGCTTATGATTGTCAGATATTAGAAATACATTTCTTATTGACAGTATGAGGCAATGTTTAAAAGCCTCCACTCAAGGGCATAAACAATGGTTTATAGTCACGTGTTTGGCTTCCTTTAAGAATTCTTATTTTCTCTATTTTTGTGCAATATCACATCAAAACATACAAGATAACATGGCATGACATTTTATTCTGCACTGAATTCTTATCTGTACATTAGCCTAAAAAAACAAAGACATTAGATTTAGAAATAGAGAAAATCTTGGTAAATAAGTGTTTACGGGATCAGTATTATTAACCCATTACTTCATGAGCATTTTGTGAAAAATGGCTGTTTTCATTGAAAAGTCTCCCGTTACAAGTTCAAATTGCTATAATACTATACCAACTGCTTCAACACTAATCAAACTTGGCAAAAATGTTGACTGGACCATTGCCCTTGCAACAACATGCTCAGGCTTAATTTTTATGTTACCATGGCAACGAGGGGACATCTCAAAATTGCCAAAAAATAACTTTTTTGTGTTGATTTTTTCAATCAAAATTGATTTCAAATTGCCGCAACTTCTCAATGGATTGAGATAGAGTCAGATGCTTTTCAGCGTTGCTTACACGTTACCTTATGATCAATCTGGGGTCATTTATAGCCTCTCACAAGTCCAAAATTTTCTCGGCGATGAGTGGGAATCCGCACCCCTTCAAACCCCCAAAACAGAAGGGGGCACATCCACCTTCTGGCAACCCCTGATGCATCTATTGGTTGGGGGCCGCGCCGAAAGAGGTTACTTTTTTTAACGATATTTCTCAAACAAAAACAAGTGTTGGGGGCCTAAATCAGGCATTTTTTCACCATTTGAGACAACAGAAAGGGGGTTGAAAAAGGCGTTAAAAGGCGTGTATTTGACGTAATGGGTTAAAGGAATCAATTTTATCTAAAGTATAAGATACAGATTTGAACTTCAATATTTGTTGACCTACTCTTTTGTTGATCTTTATTCTCATTTTTAGTGTTTTCCAGGAACGATGGTTAGGAATTTTCCCGCCTATATGACTGAAATACTGTTGGGAAAAGGCGTAAAATGAAACAAACAAAAACACAATTTAGTGTTTTGTCAACTGAGTATTATATGTCTTGTACAATGCAATCGTTTTTCAACAGCATCTCGATATTAATGATGAAGATAAAATAAATCATTCTTATTTTACCTATTTTGAAGTGTTTAAATTTGTTTTCACTATTTTATGACTTTTTCTAATTAAAGAGCAGTGTTTGATGTATTTGCGAAAAATTGACATTGTTAATCAGAAATATAAGCAATATATTTCTTGCATTTATTGGTATAATGAAAAGTACATATTTTTGTCTAAGCAATAATGTCATAAATTATGCGGAGACAACGTGATCTATAAGTGCTGATCAAACAAACCTGAACATCAAACATTAATAATAAGTGATCAGAAAACGTAAGGGCGTTTAAGATGAATAAGCAATTAATTTGTCACGATCTGAGATATAATTGAAAAGAAACAATGGGTAAATTATACTACTGAGCTTTGTGCATGCCTGTGAGGATAAAAATATTCATGTACTGTATGTGTTAGAATGGAATGTTGGGTTTCCCAGAATGTTTTTAGACACTTATGATCAAAGAAAGAAAGTTGTGAACGTACAAATTTAAAAAGAAAATCCTATTAAAGGTCTTTGTAAAAAATAGTCACAACGTTGACAAAGGGAATTGGCTACATTTTTGACATAGGAACATAGAAGGAAAGTTGTGTAAGTTCGAATGTGGAAA